CCGAAACAAAACAGTGAATATCATCTAGAAACACGCAAAAAAGCATCCGGGACATAGTTTTACCCACAAACGCAAGTAATTTAATTTCAAAGTTGCGCTAGGACCGAAACAGTGAATATCATCTAGAAACACGCAAAAAAGCATCCGGGACATAGTTTTACCCACAAACGCAAGTAATTTAATTTCATCTCAAAGTTGCGCGTGACAAATGAACATAGTATCAACAAATGTGATCTGACTGCTGACCAATCATGTCCATATATTTATCAAAACGATTTCCAGATTTGTGTGGTAAATTGACAGAAGTTTACTCGCTTTTTCGAGTGGGATTTAAATCAGCCATATCCATGTGAGATGGTCATTTAATAACAGCATTTCTTGGCAGATCGCATCTACTTTTTGTGTTTCTGACAAAGAACATAGAAACAGCAGAGGTTCAAACACAAGGTATCCATGACTTGCACACTCACTTGTTCTGGAACTAATAGAAAATCGTGAAGCGGTAAATAACCCAGAAAGGCGAATAATTGGCATGACGAGTGAACCCTCCATCTAGAAGTAACCACTTGAGGAGCCGTAGCACTCACTCACATACTTGACTGTTCAGCTCACAGTCGCCCACTGGATCACGAGACCTGTCTTTTTTCATACCCACAAAGCACGTGACATTAAGGTGACTCATGGGACATCGATTGTCTGTACCGTCTAGTGAGCGTAGCAACAACTCATGTGCTGACAAACCCACGTACACTCAGACGGACCTATATATAGGGAAACCGAACACAGCACACAGACTCGCGCGCGCTCAGGGAGCAAGAAGTCAGCCAAACACTCCAGGTCCACGGACAATTACGGACTACGTGTATCAGCCAAACTGCGGAGAAAACACGTTCCTGCCGTCCGGACTTTCACCACGGGACTCTCGCATACGATAAGTTAAGTTTCCTTTTAACTCGCTCCACATTTTATATTGCCCCTTATTTTATATATGCTGCAAATCGTTTCTGTAAACTACAGTCAACCGCAGTAAAGATTGTTATTAGTGCACATACACCTTCTGATTTGTATTATGTCTATCACGACCTGTGCACTAATAATTGGTGGGCATGAGAAAAGACAAGTCTCGTGATCCAGTGAGCGATTGTGAGCTGAACAGTCAAGTATGTGGGTGACTGGGTTGCTACAGAGCCAGTCAAAACGCAACCAATCAACTTAAGACGGAGAACCGATGGTGCTATATCCTATCACAGGACGAGTTGATCACAATGCTGATAAGCCGTTCATGACAAAATGTTCAGTCTACTAGCCGAGTGGTTGAAAAAGTGAATCTCCATTTAGATGATCCCTAGTAAGTATGAAACAGCTGTAGATTGATCGGTATAGACAGGGTTACACATCCGCCTGACTTTCGTAATTTAACAAAAATGTGATATGAAAAACTACTTGTTCTAACTTTTCCCACGAGTGATGTGGATAACCCTCGAAGTTGTGCCAGGACAGTTGCTCTGTAAACCTGCCCTACGATTTTCGTGTGCCAATGTTTCCCTAAACGTTGGATACATTTTATCAGGCTGTGTTGATCGTAAATATGGTGTCGTTTGCATTTAGTATGAAGCATGCGTCAGCAGACACTCTACCTAACAGACATTGGCTGTCTAAACTTCAAAGTACATCTTGGATACGGCGAGCTCCTGCTGTTCAAAATATGATGATCGTCACAGTACCCCTCATCAGCTGTTGCTATAGTGGGAATCTTCGGAGAGAAAGCGTAACCTTGGGTCTGGGTAACACCCTGCTTTTGGACAGTGAACAAATCTTGTCCGTTCTTTCCTGGGGCAGAAATTCATTGCAATGAGCTCCGAAAATCAATAATTTGTGCTAGTTCCTTTCGACAGTGTTCGTTCTAACGACAGTCTGAACTACTCAATACGTTCGTAGCTAACGCTCTTCACTCCGATATTTTAAGTCCTACTGTACAACGAACCAGAGTTTTGCGAACAGGAAGGAAGTTTGAACAATGTTGTTTTATTTAACTTTCTGTATCTGAAGTAAAAATCACCCTTCAGAAAACCATAAACCTTATTTCGAACTTTTTTCTTCACTTTGTACCTGTTACACCAGAAGATATAATCAGTCGCGGACAGACAAATGGCGTGAAGCTCCATAAATGTGCCCAAGGTAGACACCTGGATATATGGATAGATTCCTTTAAACAGTGAGTCAGTCTGGTAGTGTCCCAAACTATTGTTAGGTCAGGTGCGTTTACTGTCGCTCGATTAGATGGCCGTCGATCTGTTCGCTGAACTTGTAAACCAATCGAGAAGATCGGCGAACAGACCACCTGATCATCTACGAATTCAGCCAACTTACCTGCCACACCTTAGGCGAGTTCGATTGGCGACCTTGTTTTCTAATAATTGTTTGTTCACTTGTCATGATGACACGTGATTTTTCAAGATTTCGACATTTGATTCGCGTGACTTCCTTTCTGTGAAGAGCGATATAGATGGATCAAGACCTTTGATGAAATCACCATTAAGTATTTGTCTATTCACCAGCAAACCCATGATTTATGTTCAGGCAACAGTATTCGACAGTGTCTGTAGTTTTAAACAAATCATTGTTTACCGGTTGAATCAATCAACATAACATGAATGGTCCAACACAATGAGAAAAGTTGTTTTTGGAGGTCAACACTTGCGAAATTAGAGAATTAGCATTAGAACGACGTCAAGATTTATCATACTAGAACGACTAGCTGCAATTAGTTCTAGCCGTAACACGGTTTACCAATAAACCGACAGCACGCATCGGGAGTATCAACTATTACACACCAGACAAGTGGGAATTTTTAGTTGGAAACGCTGTTTACTAGAAAGAAATGTGACGGATCCGACATGAGGTTTTCGCATTCGTCCGGTGGCTAAGTCTAGCTGTCACCAGCTATCCTCAGCAGGAAATCTACAGCCGATGTATGGTGAAGACCGTGTTTACTGATGGATTTCTCGTGACGCTATATCTAGTTGAACGATACATATTTTTGCATGC